GTGTGTTCCTGCACGCAGAATGATAACACTCCCATGTGTGCGAGCACAACCGACGCATCATGCGCCAGCTTATGTTTTGATTGTGTTTCACCAACACAGGCCTTGTTATCAAAGCAAAAGGGTGGTACTCCATATCTTCCCCAGTACTTGCCAAGGGATACCATTCCAGTACTCTGGAAATTCCAATCACGATTCACAGCTCTTCTTCACGCGTTCCGCTTTATTATCTGTGTGAATCTAGCGCAATTCGTTGAGGTGATTTGGCAGCAAACTCCTGAGTGCCCACAACCATGAAGGCTGCTTCGTACGCACTGGCATTAGGGGGAGGAGTCAAAGAGCATATTGCAGGCTCTGCCTTGACTGTCCAGGTATGGTTTCGGAGAGGCCCAAGCTCCTGACCGGAATGACAGTCCTGTGGCTGCAAGGTTTACGAAAAACTGTTGACTGTGCACTTCTGACACTGGTGACAGTGTGAATGTGCCAGATATGTTCCCTTGGTTTTACTACAAGGGCAGATTGGTAGATTCCCAGCAGCAGAGAGTGGGAGGCTCATCAGTGTACTGCAGTGATACCATCCTGGACTTGATTGTAACACACACACTTACACATTCACACTCACACACCCCAGCATAATGTCTTCCAACAGTCTCGTAAAAATTCAGCTTTGGATCGGGACCTGATGGAGGCTTTGGATGCTTTGGTAGATACTTCAAAGATTCGGTGTACACAGTCCTTTGGCAATCTCACATTATGTTGAAGTCGAAGATCAAAGTTGGTTAAAAGGGTAAAATGTCAACTAGTACGGTTGAAATTACTTACATGTGTAGAAGGTTACGTGGGCACGTGTAGGTGTACTTCGCCTGTACAGCAACAAATTGAACTCATTTTCGACCTCAGATTGAAGCAGAGACGAATCAAAGATTAATCCTTCCTATCACAAATGAGAGAGGGAGGGAGGGAGGGAGGGAGGGAGGGAGAGAGGAAGAGAGGGAGGGGCGAAGATGTCAGAAGGTGGCTTAGCGAAGGACACCGTTAGCAACAGGCGTGAGAAGCACTGGTCTGCCATGTGCTGTGTCACCGAAGGTCCACCACCGCAGGACAGACTCTCTAGACTCTTCAAACTTCACTTGCCTTTGACTACCCAAAGACCAGTTTCCGTCAATGGATTTATCAACCTTCATGGTGTTCTTTTCTCCCATCCCCGACCGTACTATTACTGTCCTTCCTGAAGCAAGTCTGCTCTGACCGATAGCGATTAAGCTGGTTCCCTACCATGTACAGTATGTATGCGGTAGCATTCACTTAGATGCTGGATTTGTGTAGCCTCTTTTTTTCACCCATTGGTAACTTACACCGTGAGTCCCTTCTTGTGGTTTACATGCTCTGGTTTACTCCACAATGTACATCAGTTGCTTCAGAGTACATCTCATCCTTTCTCTCTTACTGTACATGATTGAAAATACAAAAACTTCTGCAAATCGATCAACTTTTAACAGTCGCCATAATGTGAAAGTTTAGGATTCGTGAATAGTTAGTTGCTGTTACAGTGGAGTGGATAACCACAGAGGTCTGAATCTTCAGTATATTGACGCTGCGGTTGAATTCAACCCGGGACTGGTGGGTTTCAGGATCTTCCACATTTGAGGTTGGGAGAGTCAGTTGGGTCTGTCAGAAGCACGGGATTCATCTGACCAATCCCTACCCCGGCAACTCCGGACCGAGTTGATGAGCATATCAGCTGGTGTCTATGTACGTTTTCTCATTACTGTATCTGCAGCGATACCTCCTGTTCTTTTCTTTGAAATAAATATGAACATGGAGATGTTCAATGTTGCCAAATCAGATTAGGCGTTCATTTCGCGGTGGTTAAAATCCACGGCCAGTTACGGCAATATTACCGTTGTCCAAACGGCAATCGAGCTAGTAACTTCAGCTTTCAAGGCTCTTGGAGATAGTGGTATTCACTCGTTCCACGAACCTGGCGCTTGCGGTGACCTGGTCGACCTGCCTACATGGAAACGACGGGTGTATCTTTTAGGTTCAAATTCTGGCGGACCAGATAATTCCACAAATAGACCCCCGCACACTGGCAGCCTTCCAATCTCGAGAAAGGTAACCCCGATTAGCGCCGGCAGACGTATACATCGTGTATATTTCAACGAGCGACTGTGACAGGTGCGCTGGTCTTTTTACTCCCGGAATTACGATGTTCACGATGCTTGTCGCTCGACCTTCCATGTGCCGTGGGGTGTGTATACCCATCATGGACGGTAAAGGTCTTTGTCCGTCCCTCTCCTGACTTCATGGTTGTTACAGGTTACAAGTACATCCCGACGCGAACGGATTTTCTATTTTTCTGTTTTTATTTTTTTCGTTAAACCCCCTTATTTTCCTTTCTCTCCAAGCCACAGGAAACTTAATTATCAGGTTAATGGGCTTTTCTCGCAAAAGTTGTTTGGGTACGACACTGGCGGTCGCTTGGAGCTGTGTCTCGAACTCAACAAGTTACTTAGGCGGGGAGTTTGAGATTTGTACATGAGAATAATTTGATCGCCTCCTGCAAGCTAGAAACTCATAATCTTAGAGGTACTCTCTGTAATGTGTCCGCGAACGGAATGCTGGCAGTAACTATGTTTAGCCCCCTAGTCTTGGAGTACACCAGACGTTATCTCACGTTTCGCTTTCACAGGTGAAGTTCAATATATTACTTTGACCACTCAACGATTCGTTGTTATGATTAGCCGAAGTAACATTTGTACCCGGCGGGCTGTAATTGCTGAAATAGTCAGCAGAAATATAGCATGTTTCCAATCAAAAGAACGTGACTCTCACAGGTGTTCCAAATTCAAGCTTATGATTTCGGAGACTCGAGTGATCATCACGATTGGGTTGATTGCTGCCATGAGCTCACTGCCACCATTCGTGTTCCTGAGATGATTGCCATTCTTCAGTCTGGGTGATGGACCACAGATCATGTAGCGCCATGAAAAAGAAGACTACGGCATCTCGCAATGCAAGGGTCGGTGATCACCCACACAGCACGAGTTCAGGCTCGCATTTGAAAACTGCGATAAAAAAAATAAAAAAATAAAACGTATTACATTCCCCCCAAAATCGACCCGGTCGTGTAAAACTAGAAAACCAAGGAGAATTTCGGTCCCGATCAATAATATTATCAGTGCAGACAGAGCAATGAAGTGAAAGGCGTTCAACCACCTCAAACTCCGCAGCAGCGATGGGCAATGACCGTTTGTGTAACTCATCAGGCATTCTTTCTCTCGAGGATGCAGTTTTCCGTTGCTAGTAACATGACATGATGGCATCTGCAGAGAATGTAAGCTCGCCTCTGTCAGCTAGTTCATATCGTTGAATAAGGTTCGTTGTCATTGTGGCCTTTGGTAGAACCATAAGCTGCAAAAGACACAGCGCTCTCACGCTTCCACCATGTTTATCAGTAACCTGCCAGTCTACATTAAATCTCATGGTGTGGACAAGAGAACAGTGCTAAATAATACTGATGCTTCTGCGAGTTTGCGTTGCGCAGGCGACGCGTCGTGTCGATTTGGCATGAATTATCGGCTGAGGAACTCCTCAAATGTCAGTTCTAGGTTATACTGGTTTAGGAGGCTGGGGCGGGTCTGGAAGGGCATGAAGTGAATGAAATTGGGGATATATATATAAATATATATATATATATATATATATTCAAAATTGGATCATCCACCAGTTTCTGCTTCGTGTGCCGTATGCCTGCACGGAGCCCCTGGGAGAGTTTTACAATTATTATCCACCAGTGAAGTCTTTGTCCAAACCGACTTTAGCATCACTTTCGTCTGAAGTTGCAGCATACTGTCAGCATGGATGTACTCAGGGTACTTTTCAATTTGTTACACAGTGGAACAGGACGTGTATGCCGACCTTTCCTCGTTCCACGAGATGTTCCCGCTCTGTCTCTGTTTTACCATCCCTTCTGTTGCAGAGTACTCATGTGGACGATCAATGAATTGATTTTCATCCCGATCAATCCGTTGCTGATTGGCTGCAAGCATACCCCGCCTGATAGTAAGAACCCCGAGACTGGACTGCCTTGCGTCTAGCCCAAATTGAAGTGATTGAAAGCATATCGCTTCGAGGAGATTGCTGCTTCTCCCTGGGGATACCCGCTGCAGGTAAGCAAGCGCCCCCAAGCGGACGGAGTCGTGTCAAATCACCAGCCCTTTTAGCCCATCGATCTATCGATCGACAGTTTGTTACCTTTTCAAATTTCGCTGACATGTGAGAGGTCAACTGCATTTCGATCCATGGACGTTGATTGCTTTCAACCTCCTCGTTTTCACTTCAAGAGCTGCCGTACCCTGCCCCTCCGGCCAGGTCTTCTAAAGTTCTCGTCTCTGGTGAAGCCGGCGGAAGGTACGATACCTTGGTTGCTACTATCCTCAACGTGCTACCGCCTGGGACGATGCAGCCCAACAAGCATGATAAGCTCTCGGATCTTACATTTTCACTTTGTTTATTCTCGAAGATTGTACTTCCGTGACGCCAAGACAGCCTCACCTCAGAACCAGTCACACATGTTCCGAAGACCAAAAGCAATCGAAACAAAACAAGATATAGCAGAGGCCCAACTCTCAGTTGCAGCCATTCAACGCACAACGTCCACCTGTATCAAACGGGACATAATCTGGTGATTTCAGAATCTCCAGCGGTGTGATAAAGTCCAGAAAAAAAGCTCTAGAGTACTTGTCAGAGTGATAGTTCTTCCACTTGAGGGAGTGCGAACTTCTGAGCTCAGGAATTATCGGCTAACCAGAGCTCCTTTACTCGTCTAATGGGATTGCTTGAGAAGTGGTCGGCAACCTTCCCGAAGTAAGAGCATTATGAGGTTAAGTTGGAGATACCTCTCAAGGTAGGCAATGTAATGTGGGATTAGTGAGCATCATCAATACGATTCAAAGGACCGACTGTCGAGCCAGAGCCCAGATAGGGAATAATGCAGCGGAAAGAGAAATTGGACACCGAAAGCGCAGCCTCGACAGCAGCTTTGAGGTAGAATGTCATTGAGAAACCGAGCAAAAAATGTAATTTCAACAAAGATTGAAACGTCCAGATTCAACGGGACCTAGACTACAATTGAACTGTCTAATTTAAAAATGTAGTTCGCACAAACTTCAAAACGGAAGGCGCGAAAATATGAAATATTCTATACGCCAAGAGAATAGTCCGGTGTGTGCGTCATCCTCGAAACAAGTTCTGTATCTGTAACTAAAAAGGAACACGGGCATGCTTGATGTACCTCATTTGTTCACAAAACCCGTCCTGATAATCTAGCGAACATATAACACCGGAGTGTCTGACTTATTGATTTCTGTACTCTCAAACCCTAAGGGACATCTCACAGCAGCACGCTCAGTAGGATTCTCATCCCACGCTACTGGTACATGTATGTTACAGAATGCAACCTCCACTTCCTACCTTCTACTCCTCTCGTCTCACAGAAAGCAAGACAAGGAGGGCGTCGCGCACTTATTCATATCTGTCCAAGCAGCCTCCAGCCCCAGCCTCCCCTCGCTCTCGTAAGCTCAGAGATTCACACATTTCAGGCCCCGCGATCCGAACTAGATGATACAGAAGAAACCCCTTCACATTTAAACCGTCGGCATCGCAATCCACCAGCTCGGATTGAAGCAGCGATGAATAACCCATTGAATGTCAGCGGATGGCCACGGAAACCAAACCAGTTTACTCTTCAGGTGCTCGTGGATCTTGACATAGGGAGATCGTGAAAACGGCGTACACACGAACCAGAATATGATGCTTTGGAAGTGCGGAGATTAACGCAACGCCGTTGATAAACAGCATTATCGAGGACTCAATCGTCGAACGATTTGACAATAAACCTCTGTCACATGGATGGCTCCGAGCCTTGCTTGGGACCGCCTCGCTCCGCGCTGCTTCCATTCTCAGGGCTTGAGAAAAAATGCACAGCGGCACTAGGGGTGCCGTTTCCGGCGGAGGCCGCATTCTGCACAGCTTCGGCGGCCGCGGGCAGCATCTTCAACATCTCGGTGTCGCCTCCTTTGCCAGCTGCAGCTTCGATGCGGTGTGCTAAAGGCACAGCTTGGTGGTCGACAAGCTCACGAGCCGGTGAGTCCGCTGACACCTTCGAGACCTGCTTGTTGTTTGGGGTACCAAGAACACCCTGGCGATACAACACCTCTAATTGATGAAAATATGGACAAGTCTTAGCATTCTCGGGTCGCTTCTTGTTACTCTCTTTAGTCTTTCTAAAATACTTGTTGATGTTCTCCCATTTCTCTTTACACCTCTTCTGATTTCTGTTATATCCCAAACAAGCCATTCCCTGACTAATCTCCTCCCATAGTGGACCCTTCGGTCCCGCCTCCTGAAACCTCGACTCCATGTCACTCCGCAACTTGATCAGTGTCAGCACTTCCGGTTTCGGCCATCTCTTACTGTTGGGATCAATAGGAGAATCCTTGTCAATGTCGTCTACATTGGCAACTACTAGTTGCTGAGAAGCAGTGGTGGGAGGAGCAGCTGGAGCTGGGACAGGAGTTACGGGGGTAGGGGTAGACTGCTGCTTTTGAGCTGCTGCCACAACGGAATCTATGGATGGAGGGACGGTGACTATAGGAGGCCGCGAGGGGAACTGCGGAATCTGGAGGGTTTGCCCAGTTACCTTCTGTAAGAATGCTACTAGGGCCGCATCCCTGGTCGCAGCTAGGGCATGCTCTTGAGCTCGAAGCTCATGCTCCCGCGCCATCCGCGCTATTTCCTGCCGTCTCCACGCTTCCTCTCGGACCTGTCTGTCTTGTTCCCGCCTTTCCATGAATTCCAAGAACTTCCGTTGCATACTCTCCTGTTTATCCATTAGATTTTTCATCAGTGATTCAAAGTAGTCGAGCTTCGACGTCCCAGACTTACCCCCTTCCATGCGCTTCCTCTTTCGCGACTTCTCCTGATTGTCAGCTTCACCACTCCCAAGCTCATCGTAATCATCTTCAGACGAGTCTGACAGTGTAACACCGGTGCTAACTTCAGACGGCCTCGGAGCGGAGATATTGTAGTCATCAGTTGCCGCTATGCCTGGCACAGTGGATCCTGCTAGGAGACTAGCGACTGCCACTTCTGCAACATTACTCTCCAATTGAGCAGAAGTCTGCTGGCCCCCGTAGAGAGCTTCCAACTGACTAAAGAATCGATAATTTTTACCATCTTGCCTTCCAGCCCTACCATCCTTGGTCTTCTTATAATACTTGTGCACATTCTCAAATTTCTCCTTGCATTTCTTTGCACTTCTATTGTACCCAAGTTCAGCAAGCTTTCTGCAAGGTCATAACCCCACTCGATTAACACCTCAGTCCAATCACAAGCTCACCACCCTAATCCAGTAACTGGAGTGCTCATGAGATCGAATTGGTGAATCGGATCGGAATCCAGCGGGACTGGCATGCGAAGCTAACATTAACTCAAAGAAGTGGTATTCAACAGAAGATTTATTCTCTTAGCATAAATTTGAACCCGAACCTAAATCCAAAATTGCCAATCAGAAGTCTTCTGGACACTGATGGGAACTGGAGGAAACCGAAGGACTATGAGACAATAACAAACGTATTGTGGGAATAATGTGGAAGAAGCTGCAATCTTCCACCTGGAAAAGCGAATGACCACTTACTTCGAAACATCTTCCCAGAGAGGCCCCTTGAGTCCCGAATCACGAAAGTTAGCATCCATGTCCGACCGGATCTTTATGAGCGCAAGTGTCTCCTGCCTGGGCCACCGATTGGCACCAGTACTCCTACCCTCCTCCTCAAGCCCATCGTCATCCTGCGCCGCGCTCACAATCTGCTGCTGGCTGTAATTCGTGGGTGAGGGCCGACTAACACCCGGCGATGGAACCTCCGGCGAGTCTGGACCCCCAAGACCTAACTGCTGCACCATCTGCTGCTGCGCCTGCTGAGCAGCCTGTTGCGCTTGTTGCTGAGCTTGCTGAGCTTGCTGGACCTGCTGAACTTGCTGCGCCTGTTGCTGCACCTGCTGTTGAGCCTGCTGTTGTTGCTGCTGTTGCTGAGCCTGCTGTTGAGCCTGCTGTTGCTGAGCCTGCTGTTGAGCCTGCTGGTGCTGTGCAACATCCTGATGAAGAGAAGGCTGATGAGGTTGGGCTGGTTGTTGCTGTTGCTGGCCTTGAGGATGCTGCGCCAGCGGGAATTGCGGATGTTGAGGGTGTGGGGCGTGAGCGGCATGAGGGGACTGAGTTTGGTGGATTTGCTGGTGGGCTTGTAAGGTAGGGTGAGGTTGGTGACCCGGGTGCGGGCCGTAGTGGTGGTGTTGTGCTTGCAAGTGATGGGGCAGGTGGTGTTGCGGGTGATGACCAGGGAGCGGATGGCCAGCTGAGGGAGACGAGATGGACATATTGTCATGAGAGATTGAGAAAATGTGCGCAGGTGGTCTCCCCACCACGAACTGTGGCGAGTCTGAGACCCCATACTGCCCCGTGTTTTGCATCCTGTCTAGTCAGTCCCACACAACCACTTCAAGAACGAAGGAGGATGAACCAACTCCACCTTTGGCAAAAACCTATCCACTCAAGAAACCCCTTTTGCCAATTTACCCGCCCCCGCAAGGGTCGCGTCAATCCACCCCGTCGCCGTGATCCAGAACTACTCACACGCGTACCACTCTCATCGACACCATCCTTGGCGCATTTCCCATGTCTCACTATCCAAAAATGCGCGCAAGATCCTGTAACCGCCGCTGCCCCGACCCACCGACTCGGTCTCTCAAGTCTACCAGACTCGACCAGGTGAATATGATCACCCCTCGTCAGCACGCGACCTACTCCCCGACATAAAAGGATCCACTGACAAATTTGAACGTCACGCTCAAATTTCTACAACACGCCACACCCTATTGAGAACTACAAAGCACCTGAAAAAACCTCGTCTAAAACCATTATAGCTCACACGTCAATCAATATAATAACCGCACACACTTCAAAACTTTTTCTTCGTCTCGACTCAATCACTCCGTCGCACTTCCTACTCACTCTCTCATATCATCCAATAATCAATCTCTCGTCCAGCTCCCAACTCTTTCCTTTTCTTTCCAAAGCCCAGTTTTTTCCTCAGTCCTTCCCTCGCTATGCCCAACTATAGCCACCGCGTAGAACAGCACAAAGCAGCGTGCAGTAAAGGCTAATGTGATCTCCGAACTAGCTCGCTTGCCAACCTACGCCTGTGCAAGATCTCTCTACTCTTTCTCTCTCGCTCTCGCTCGCTCGCTCAGTCTCTCTCCCTCTCTCTGGTTCACTCACGGAGTCTACCAGACCACACCAGGCGGAGACCAGACCCGATCCGAGCCAACTGAATCCACTTTCCACTCTCACTGGAATCAGCAATCGACGAGGCTAACGAAGGCTCATGGAGATGATGATCGACATCATCATTCTCCTCGCCCGGGGTTAGTAAAAAAACCTCACACGGCCATACCCAACCAAACCCAACCCAACCAGGCCATCCTGCTATGACAATCCTTTCATTATCATCAACAGCAGCAGCAGCATCAATCCGTGAGCCTGGCATCAATCTTCACCCCCCTCGCAGTGAACTCTCTCCTGTTACGCTCTCCTTCTCTCTCTCTCTCTCTCACGCTCGCTCGCTCTTACTCCTCCGCTCTCTCTCTCTCTCACACTCACTCTCCTTCTCTCCCTCTCGCTCGCTCTCTCTTGCGCTTGCTTGCTACCAAACAGAAACTAACCCCAGGGCAGCAATAGGCGAGTCCAGCCAGTTAGCCGGACGCGAAGAGCAGGATCTGATCCAAAGACTGTGCGCCAGATATACACACCAGTAAATTTTGTAGGATGATCTCCACTGAAGGCGGGGGCAGTGTTCAGCAGCGGAACGGGTGACGGAGATGCGGGTACCGCGGGCAGCGGGTGCGGGAAAGGGGCCCGGAATGGAAATGGTCTTTGCTGTGCAGTTGGCACTCTTTGGCCCTTCTGCTAATTTCCTGCCCGAATTTTATGCACTCTGCAGCCCAGCCTATTTTTACTGCACACCGAGACTTGGTGTTGCTGCTGCCCTGCCCCCTCGGGCACCACAAAACTATCCCCCCCCCCAACTCTCGCATTCCAAGTTTCAAACGGATTGGGCTGCCCGCTGCCCTATGCACTCGCAATCGACGACGTTCCTGGTCTGCGACCCCTCGTTGCTCTGGCCAGGGAACTTAGTTAGTGACTCCAACCTCGCATCAAGGTGACACGAGTCATCGAATTATTCCTCCCCGCGAAATTTTTGGTGACACCTTCATTGCCATGATTTAGATTGAACTTTCACAAAACTAATTCCTCTTCGCTATTTTTTAATAATAATAATAAGATCAAGTGTGTATTATATGACGATGTCAAAAAAGAATCGTGTAAAATTGAATCTTTGATGAGTTGGGTTTTGTCTTCTTTGCGATTAGTTCAACAATTGGTAAAGCAAGCGTGTTTTGAAGTGTCTAGGGATGATTTTTGATACAGAGAGGGGAAAATAAAACTAAAACTAAAAGTAGTTACAATAGCAACAACAATAGTAACAACAACAGTTACAAAACAACTTTTGATAATGAGTTCATTGTGATTTTACGTTAGAGATGTTTCAAATTTACACAATAAAAAATATATATTTTTTCATGATAAAACGTTATCTTTTCACATTTTTACAAATAGATTTTATGAGAGATTGAATTTGCAACGTGATTATTGTTAATGATGAATTAAATCACTTGATAGAAAAAATAGTGTTTTCTAAATACAGATTTATGTTCTTAAAGGTTACATCCGTGTTTGACCAGAATGTTTAGCACATGCATGTATGTATATATATATATATATATATATATAGTGAAAAAACATATTATTTATTTGTTTGTTTGTTTTTTTGGTTATTCATTCCGAGGGTGAGAAAAAATTAATATCCTAAATTTCTCTAAAGATTTATTACTTGCCACACAACAAGACCCCATGACTGCTTCTTCAAACTTCCAACCCATTCTAAAAAATTAGATTGTTGTTGCTGTCTAAAAACTCTCAAAATGTGTGGAAAGTTACTTTACCTATTTGATTGGTTTAGACGTGTCAAACACCTATTTTGACTCGATAATCACGAACACCATGGTTTCTACACGTGAGAGTTTTGAAGCACCTTGGCATCTGTCCTTCACAATGAAGCGCAACATAAAATCATAGCCAACTCTGAACACCGATTAGAAAAAAAAGAGAACTAGGGTGGTGGTGGGGGTGTCGCAGTTGGGCTCCTAATTTGGAACATTAAAAATCATGTAGTCGGACTGGGCTGGGTTGGGAGGGGGACGATTGACATTTAGCACCACTAATCAGCTGAAATTAGCACTAAGTGGCCCCGCTAATGAAGGCAGGGTGGGGCAGGGAGCGGAATCTCACCAACAAAAGGGGGAAAAAAGGAAAACGGAAAGCAGGGGGGAGGGGGGGTGGCTTCATTTAAAACAAGATAAAGTCAGACGGTCATTCATGACTGAGATGGCATTCATCTAGCCATGCCCTGGATCCCACTTCTGCAACACTTATCATGTATTAATTGACTTTATCTTCGCTTGCCTTCCGTTCTTTCTCCCTTTCTTTTTTTCCTTCCTTTTGCCCTCTCAGGTCCTAAATTCCTCATTGCCCATTCACCATTCTTTCCCTTAACTACTTGTAGCTTGAACTACACGAACCATCAAAGAAACTGTGCAAAATCACCCATCACAGTTATTCCTACAAGGAGGAGAAAGTGGGTCACAGTAATAAGTTACATAGAATTGAATTTATGTCTAAAAAAAACTTTTATTCTACTTTTTAAAGAGCAAGCCTTGAATGCCACACAAACAAGAAAGAGGGGGAGTGAGGACGAACAGGTGAACAGATTCTGTCAAGAATGGAGGGCCCTCTGTCCAAAATGTCTGAGCTGCATCTTGTCTGTGGCAACAGAAACATCGTTGGTCTCCGTATGTATATTTTTTAAATAACTTTTTAATTGTTTCCCCCGTCTTCTACTACAATCACTACTGCTTGTCATCAAGACTTCACTACCCTGTAGGTGTGGATTTGTACTGTGATGACCCCCCCCCCCCCATCCCCTTTCATTTATTTATTTCCTTCAGGAGATTGTTGATAGTTTTCTGCTGGTGTTACTGGCTCTCTCTTCCAACCCTAAAAATCAGTTTCCCCTTCCCCTTCTACTCTTATTCATGCTTCCTCTTCCTCATGAGGGAAAAATGTAACATGATGAAAGGGTCATTGAACTTCCCTCCCCCCCTCCCCCCTCTATTACCACCTCATCCCTAAAAGGCTTTCATGCAGGGTACTGTTTCCAATCAACCCTGCCATTGGGAATTGTCAGCCTTTTTCCCCACTTGCACAAAACCAAAATGATCCCAGCTGGACAGTGCACTTGGAAATTAAAACCATGAAACAAATAAATGATTAAAAAGATGCCATGAGTGGGGCACTGTATTAACTTATTTGCAAGCAAAGGGGGGAGGGGATGGAAGAGAAGGAGAGAGGGGGTTGGGTTGGGATGGGATCACAAAGTTGAATGTCAAAGGGGGCATCTGACAAACTGAATAATGTATATGATACAATACTGAGGCTCCTCAAGGTTTATCCAAACAAAAAGCCCATACTCATATTTTATTTCAAATATATTTTTTTACGTTTTAAATTATCTCTTACCCCTGAGTTTGCACCTTTTTATCTTTTAAAATACTATAACACTATTCTCTACAAAGGCTGAACCAGGTTCATTATCTGGATTCCCATGATTCCACTTCCCAGCTCTGCAATGTGCAACTGCTGCATGACATGTATGGATGGATGAACCCAAGCCTGGCAATTAGTTGGCAGACTTCAATAGCAAAGAAAGCACCTCTATCTGAAATAGCAAAGCCCCTCTTAATGTGTGTGACAAGATGAAATTCCAATTTTATGATTCATTGATCTGCCTCCTTTTCTTTTATTTTTTTATTATTCCAAAGAAAGAATATTGGTCCTAGTAGAGAGAGGAAATTCAACATTTTATTTCATGGCATGATAAACATGTTTCAATATTCAATCTTTAATAGAAGATCCTGTCCCCATTCCCAAAACATGCTTTGGCATAAAATTTAAACCATTTGATTTGTTTTCCATTTCTTTCACACACACACACGCACACCTCTACATGTAAATTGGTTAGCTGATATGAATGGTGAAGTCAAATAAAAAGTGGATTTTGATGGTAGATGGCAAACAACACCTAATGTTATTGTTTTCCAATAACTCTCATCTTCTGTTTGACAATGAGTTGCAATCACCTCTTGTTAAAAAGTGACCAAAAACCAGCAGCTGGCAATGTGCAATATCTAAGTAAAAGGCAAGTAAATACAGGACACTATGTACATGTATATGTTACAAATGGAAATATTTTTGTGTGTAATGGTATGACAGTAGCCTTTTCTCCATGTGCCATGTTCTGAAGAAGCATTAGAATCTTTAGACAGCAGTGGCTGTGGATGTTGTTGTACCTTTCTTCTTCTTCTTCTTCTTCTTCTGCTTCTTCTCCTCCCTTTAGGGTGTCCCTCAATCTTGTCAGAGCCCACACATCAGTGCAATGGATCATGCAGCAATCAAAAAATCACCTCCCCTCCGAGGATGGACAAGTTCCAAAACAGATGAAAAACATAACATGATACCATGTGATCCCTTTCATTGGAGTGTGGAGCTTTAGAGGGCCACAAAACCTTGCAACATCCAACAATGCTTTTGCAATTTTTATTATTATTACAGAGAACCTCACTGCTATCTGGACAACAAGCAAGCTTCACAGCTTTTTCAGAAATGCCCTGTGCACTATGTTGTTGTGTTTGCATGGTTTTATTTTGTTATAATTATAATTTTAATAATTTTTCTCAATGACTACATCTATCACTGCTTGAACAAGTGAAAACATAATACATCCATGGCTCATTCATTCACCCCAGTACAAGATTGGAGGTGGAGGAGAGTTGGACTTAAGGACAGTGAGTCCCTGAGGAGGGCACCTTCCACCCATGCTCACTGCAGGTATCCACCATATGTACAGTCCAGGAGCTATGGTGCACACCCAAAGGCTTGGAACCTGTAGTGAAAGGAAAAAAATTCCTCATAGAACCACAACAGAATTAGGGTACAGCAGCAGCAACAAGAGCAACAGGTCATTCTCAAGGAGGAAAAAATTAATAGCCAGGGTGAAAGGGAGGAAAGAGTTGAGGGTTGAGTGATTGTGTGTTGTTAGCTGTTTTTCTGGGTTTGAAGGAGAGAGAGACCGAGTGGCAGTAGATTGGCTTGCTTTTGAGTTCAGTGGAGCTGTTCAGGTAGTTGATCTTGTACAACTAGCTTGCCCTCTAGAAAATAAATTCTGTAACTTTTGGGCAGCCAGTTGCATTGATTTCCATATTCCACACAGGGACGGGGGAGAGGCATGTAAGAGAATTGGAAGGAGTTGGATTATACATCCATTTGATGGTTTTTATCTTTATTATTGTTTTTTAAAAACTTGTCCACTCACACCCACAAAACCAAAAGCAGCAGATACATGTGTGTGTATTTCCCTGATTACTGAAGCAATGAAGCACAGTAAAGAAGGGTTGTTTCACACCAAACTTTGGTATGGAAGAGAAAGACAAGGATATTCAAAGCTCCCATTGGGGTGGAGAGGAGGGGTACAGACAGACACACTTCTGACAATTGCCCATCCTTAACAGTGTGTGTTGTATGTCCCCAGAGTGTTGACTGAGGGATAAAACAGTATTTACAGTTGA